GCCGTATTTGCCATAAAGTCGATATCATGTTACTGTAAATTGACCTGAACTTCAAAAAGCAAATTCCAGCAACTGCTACTAATTTTACTCCCTCCAGTCTTTCCAACGGGACTCTAGACAGGATGGAGGCGGATAATCCATACAATAATTGGTAAGCTTACTAAGAATTTGCCACAAGGTGATTTGGTGGGCTCCCAGTGCCTGTAGACATTGATCTTCTGCCGGGGAATCAGTCGTAGTTTTAGTGACAACACAATGAATAGTCTAGGCATGCTTGCTGGGAAAATGTAAAATTTCGTGCTTTGATTAACAAAGACGCTTCACATTTCTCCGCCCTAAAAAAATGACCAAATCGGCTTCTTTAATTTCAGTTATTAAGCGGCCAGCGCGAATAATAACTATTTGGACAGTGCTTATAACTAAGACGGTTTGGTGCTCCGGACAATTGCTGATGCGGGCAAAAAGTACTATTGATACGGACCATTTGGTTGCCAGTGTGGGAGGGGTCAGCTTTAGCCTTCATGCAACTACTCAGAATGCAGGTTCCTCAATAAAACACAAAGTGCTTCCCGTCTGCAAGTGTTAAAATCGTGGCTAATTCGGCTTTTCTCATGAATAGGGGTCAAGTATTTTGCTTCTGAAAAGTTATTTTTAGTATTTACCCCTTGAATTTTCTCAATCCTAAGAGACCTGCGAATAAATTTCTACAAGTGAAAGCTTTAGTCACATCTTAGTGGCAGTCACTAATGCGGAATGCAGTGACACTCGTGGTCTACAATCTACACGACGGTCACATAAGTAGTAACAAGTAGTAAAGAACTATATTACTGACAATGGTAAGGGTGATTTGAATGACCATTCGTAATGGCATGGTTGCCATCGGCCAACCATATCGGAAGAACCTCGGATATAAACCGGATCATCCGATTACCTAGGCTTTAAGTCGAACGCACTGTCAGTTGAGCTAGGGATTCAGGTCATGTCAGCCGCAAGTGGCAGTATCCAAATTTAACGAGGTCGGTATACAATGATTTATCCCGAGAACAGGAAAGATGACCAAGTAACCAGTGTGTAAACCTCAGTCTCCTAAGTGTCTCTATGACAAGCCTGGAAGGTAGGACTTGTAAACGTTTGGGCAAAAACGTCTTATACGAGAACGTGGAAAGTGTACGCATCAGAAAAATACACCGCTACTTAAATTACGTTACTTGACCAGGAAAATTTCAGCCTATGAAAGTTGTGAAAGTACCCAAAAATCAAAAAATCTTAATAGCGGATAGAAACAGAAGAAATATGCGACACAGTCTGAGAAGCCCGCTTAGCTAACCTTTGATTACCTGCACACTGGAAGTGTCAACCGCAGATTCACTTTTACAGACATGAGCTTGGCACAGAACTGCGGAATCAAGATACGTTGGTAAATTTTGTAAGTTTGGTGTAACCGAATAGAGCTTAATGCCACGGTCGATTTTCACAGTGGCTCAAAAGGATGGAAAGATCAACGCCCGCATAGATAGGCAGTTTGACTATCACGAAAGACGATGTCCGTCATGTGCGGCACACCATGGTGCTCGACACTTTTCCACTACATTTTCATTTAAGCCTACCTTACTCGGTATTTGTTAACCATAACGAGCATTTGGTTCCTTTGCCCCAAAATCCATGCAATCAGTTAGCAACAGAATACTTCTCTCTTTTTGCCCTTTCTGCCGTTAGGCGTCGATGAGTTCGAGGTAGCTACTGGCACAACAGTTACGTTTCGTCTAAGATGGCTTAAAAGTATTAAAATGGGATGGTACTCTCGATCACATTCTGCTCACAAAAGACCCAGAACTATTGCATGTATGGAGTCGACCAAGGGAATTTTCTTCTCAGCTCTGGCAGAAGTCATTAAATTGAACGCGTTTACTCTCACTTGAAAGACTTTAATTAGGAGGACTCAGTCCCAATGCTGAAGCCTGGAAGACATGGAACGCCATCTGTGATGCCTGCCGACGTAATATAGGAAGCTTTCCTAGAGACGTGATAAACTACGAATTCACGTTTGTTTCCATGAAAATCTACTAAAAATCATTCGAAGGTGTGATTTATCAGGTGGCCTATTAGAGATGTTCTGGAGCTAACCACATTGCTGCAGGATTGCGTGTCAGCGCGAACATTTCACGAGCTGCCTCATGATAAAAAAGTAATAACAGGAAACACTGGATCAGCACTCTGGTGTAATCTGTATTACACTGTCCCCAACTAGTTATTTGAATTTTTCAAAAAATAGATGGGGGGAACTGATATCACAAAAAAGTAAACAATTAGTGACTTGCAGTGCGGAGGTCACCGACTTAAATTTTATTCCAGCCAGGACTTCCCGTTCGTAGTCGAAAAGAAAACTGGCCAGACAACATGCATGGCAGGTCCGATCCCCTATCCGGTCTTCATAACACCGTCCTGACATTATGCACATGCACTGCAGATGCAGTAAAAGTTTGTTACCACTATAAACTGGCTCAAATGCCACTTAACACCCCTGCGCCCAACATGCTGTGGGGTCCACAGGGGGCAGCACTGCTCCCGACGATCGGACTGTTGATTTACTTGAATGTCGCTAAACTGAGCAGAGGTCGGGCAACCAGAGTGTTTGCGCCCAGCTATCACGCAGGGCTCCAAACACTCATCCACAGACTGGCAACAACGGTCGCTGATCAGGTGCACCACTATAAACTTCGTCAATTTTGCTGTCGTTGCTGTTGTTGTTGTTGTTGTTGTTGATGATGATGATGATGATGATGATGATGGTGGTGGTGTTCAATACACATGAGTTGTCTTCGGAAATTCTTAACGAACTACGGGGAATATAGGTGTAATAAGGCCGTTCACACCGCCTGTTATGTTAACCGAAGTAGCACAACCATGCTTATCGGCTGGTTACATTAGCAGATATTCCCTTATTGCCGTCTAGTCAAGCAATGCTGTTACCGGTTGTGTCCTCCGTACCTAGCTTGTAAGGCGAAACTCATATACAATTATGAGAGAAAATGTTTGCGTAAATTGTGGCAGTTTGTTTTATTTTGTTCTGCGTGTTACAGTAAATGTCACAGGAGGCGGTCATTTC